GGTGGGGGCGACTGGTCTGGGGGGTGGTGGGGTGGGTGGTACTTGTAGGCGTGGGGGGGTATGGGGGGTTGGCTGGTGCTGGGAAGGGTCTAAAGGTGTTTTTGGGGCTGGGGGCGATGGGGAGGGGATGGGGTGGTGCAGGGCTGAGGAGGGGTCGGGGTCCCACTTACCATCTGGGGGGGGTGGTGGCTGCTGGGAATGTTGGTCTCCTGGAAGAAGGCGCTGAGGGCTGTCTGTGGGGGACAAGCTGTCAGCTCCAGCCCACCCGACACAAAGGGGGAGGGAAAACACGAGCCCCCCAAAGCTCACCCCGCTGACCCCCGCTCGCTCCCACCCCCCCAGGACCGCCCCGAGGGGTATCGGGGGTGCCCCCAACCCCGCCAGGCCTACGGGCTGCCCTTCACCCGACCCACCGGAGATCGTGTCCCCTACTCGCTCAGGGGCTCCCCACGCCAGGGGGGACACCCCAAACCCCGTGTTTACACCCCCCACCTCTCTCCCAGCGGCACCCCCACATCGGAGCCCGAGGGAGGGGCCGGGGCGCTGGGCCGCAGCTCGGGTTACGGCCCGGGTATAAATAGACCCGGCGGAGCCCGGGGCCGATTGCCCCCCCGCCCCGGTGGGGGTGCTGGGGGGACGGGCAGGACCCCCCAAAACCCGGCCACGCGTGTCCGTGGGCCGGGGCCGCACAGGCCCGCCCCCACCCCCACCGCCTTCCGCCCCGCGGCTCTGCGGGCAGGCGGGCGTGCGGATCGGGATCTGCAGCGTCCCGGTTCGCGTGCGGCTTATCCCGATCCATGCCGCTGGCGGCCCGGCCCGTACCTCGAACTGCCAGTGTGCCGCCTGCAGCAGCTGCTTGGCCTGGTCAGCGGCGCAGCCCGCCGCCAGCACGAACTGGTTGATCATCACCTGGTGCCGCAGCTCTTCCATGTTCACGGACATGGCGGGCCGGCCCCGGCCCCGGCCCCGGCCCGCACCGCCCGGAGCGCCCCGCGCCCGCCGCGCCCGCCGCGCTTCACCGGGGGAACCGGGGGGCGCCGCCAGCCCCGCCCCCCAGCGCTGATTGGCTGCCGGAGCGCCCCACGCCCCGCCTACCGCCGGCTTCGAACCTTCCAGCTGCCCCGGCGCCTCCCCATTGGCCGCCGCCTGTGTTTTGGCTGCAGACGGCGTCGTGATTGGCCAAGGGTCGCGGAGGCGGGGCCAGGCGGGAGGGAGCAGGGAGCGCCGGTCGCTGATTGGCTGTGGGGGGATTTTATCATGAGGCGTTAGTGACGTCACGTTCATTGAGGAGGTTCATTGAAGAGGCGCGGGCGGGGCTCGTTGAGAGGAGCTGTTAATGGGGGTCATTGAGAGGGGGGGCTCCGCCCGCCTCTGGGTGCCCTTGTTGGGGGAGCCACTCCCTCAGGGCTGCACCTTAACTCCCTGCCCGGCTCCCCCAGCCAGGCGCCTCATTCCCTTAGCAAGGCTCCTCTCTTCCTTCAGCAGAGCTCTCCCAGCACCCCATCTCCTTCTTCTTGGGGACCCTGTTGCCCCCTCCGGGGCTTCCCCCTTAACCCCCTGTCTTGACTCCCCCAGCAAGGCTCTCCCAGCGCCGCCCTCCCATCCGGGAACCGTTTACCCTGGGAATGGGACCCTAACCAAATGCCAGGGGCAAGAGCAGGGACCCATCCTCTTCATGCCCGTGCTCCTCCCATGTAAAGGTTACAGGGTTCAGCACAGCTCCCAGTTTGGGGGGTGGGATTTTTTGTTAGTGGTTAAAATTCTGATGACTCTGAGCTCCAGTGTCAGCCTGCAAGGATGAACTTCTTCCTGGTGTGCTTCCCCTGCCCTGCGTTTAGGGACCCGAGTGGGACTTGTGTGATTCTCGCCTTGAAGTGCTTTGATTAAAAAGGGAAAATTGGCACTTAAACCCCAAACAAATGAAGAAGGAACTTTGCAAATGCATGGTGTGAGAATAGGTTGTTCTGGGAAGAGGCATTGGAGGTTTGGATGTGGCAGTGGTGACCAGCTGGCTAGGGGAGAGGGAATGAGGAGGCAGAGCAATGGAAACTTGAAGCTGTATCTGCAGCTGGTTGTCCCCAGCAGTGAGGGCCTTTCTGGGGCTTCTGCAAAGTCCTGATGGTCCCATGGAAGAGAGTCCAGCAATGGCAGTGTGTGGTTGCCCAGGCTGGAAGGCTGGATATCCTCCCGGGATATTTAGGGGAATCCCATCCCTAGGATTCAGCAATGGGTATGGAGGGTCCTGCTTGCCCAGTAAGATTTTGGTAGCTTTGTCTTCTTGGAGCAAAACCAGCCTTGAGGCAGGTGGAGGTGTGAGAGGAGCAATTCCAGATGCAGGGATCCCAGACCCACCTGGGGAGGTCTCAGAACCTCCTGCTTGCCAAAGCCACCCACTCATGTGCACAGCACAGCTTCGAGCTGGGAGCAGCCGGCTTTGGGTACTGCCTGCCTGGGAAACCCATGGGAATGCAGCTCATGGGCCCCTGGCACTCAAAGCTGTGACAAAGCAGTGTTGGTGACATTTGGATGAAATGCTTTTTGGGGCAGGATTCGTTGTCGCCTCTCTGTGCTGAGATGCTCCTCCAGATGTGCTGCCCTGACACTCTGCTGGGACCTTCCCAGGCAGGAGCTTCAGACCCCTAGTTAGCAGTCACTAATGAAAAGTCACCCCTTCTGCAGCCATTGCCACTGCGGGGCTGCACAGAGCAGAACCAGCTCAGGAGCGGGGCTGGAGGCTCCACAGTTTGTGCCAGTGCCTGCTGGGGGAGCTGGGAATGGACTCGGTTTACAGACAAACGTTTTCTGCTGTGGGTGAGCTGCACACCCTCCTGTTAAAACATTAACTACTGTGCTCTCCCGTGACTCGGTTTCCCTCTCAGCACAAGGAGGCAGGATCCTCTCTCCGTGTCGAACACACATCCCAAATCCCACAGCCGAGCAGCACGAACTTCAGACTTGCATCTTGCCCAGCACCACGTGCATTTTGGAGTTATGCATTTCCTCTGGATTCCCCCTCCGGGTCAGCCCTGCTGGGGTTTCTCCTGGCTTTATGTGTGCTGGGATCTGCGACAGAGTAGGACTGGGAGAGACTCTGCCCTCGAAGCCGTATCGTCACCCAGCTCCTGCCAGCGCTCCACTGCGGCACTGTCCTACAAAATCCTCTGCTGCAGTAATCGCTGCGAAAAAAACCACGAGCCGTGCATGCAGGCAGCAGCTCTGCGTGTAATGACTGCCGGGTTATGGATCTGCACGGGGATAACTTTGAATTATTATCTGCACTAAAACCCTGCAGTCTGCTGTGTGCCGGTAATGAAATGTGCTGGCTCCCTCTCCCAGTTTCCCGCTGTCGGTGCTGGAGGGAGCGAGGCAGGGGAGCGGGGCTGGCAGCTCAGCAATGCTGGGCTGTGCTAGATTTTAAAATTATCCATGTGTAGAAGAGGATCCCCAGAAATGTATGTTGGGGTGAGAGGAATCAGTTCCTGAGGTCTCAGAGCTCCCAGCTGGGCGCCAGCACTGAGAGCTGGAGCAGGCTCCCGGTGTGGATGTTGCCCTCGGCTCCTCCGAGAACCATTTAAGTTGGAAAAGACCTTTAAGATCATGGAGTCTAAATTCTCCTCTTCAGCCAGTGCTCCCGCTGGCACACAGCCCAGGTGTGACATCCAGCAGTATGGACATGGTGTCACTGCTGGGAATGTGGGTCCTAGTGTGACGGTGACAGGCTGACAAACAGGGTACAAAGCCACCCCAGGCTGCTCTTTAATTCGGCTTTTCTCAGCTGCTTATGGGGCTGTGTGGATAGGAAGCTGTTGGGAGAGGGGTCCATGTGTCCCTCTGCAGCGAGGGGATAAAGGAGGGAGCCCCAGGGACGGCCTTTGCTCGTCACCACTGAGTAGCCGAGGACGTCAGGGCAGCTGATCCACCTCCCTGCACATCTCCCGTTTGATATTTATAGCACTCGTGTTATCAACTCAAATCAAAATCATGTGATGCTCCACTAACTGGCGCTCCCGGACTAATTAATCAACGGCGGGTTTAAGTGAGCGATCAAAGGATCCATCCTTTCTCTTCGGCTCCAAGTAGAAAATGAGTAGGTGACCAGTGCTTCCCAGTAATTTAACGCTGGGGGAACTGGGGGAATCTGTTGGGGTGCACTGGAGAGGACAGGCAGCTCCTTGCCTCCAGAGGCTGCGCCCGGAGGATGCAGCTGCTGCTGGTGTGGAGCGGAGCTGGGAAGGCAGGATGGGGATGATGGAGATGTGCACTGGAGGGGGGCTTTAACCTGGCCCCTCCCCAGCGCTGCGCGCCCCTGAAGTGCTGCTGGAGGGGATCAGTCCCTGTGCCAACAGTTGCACAAAATCCTTCCCTCTATAACCTATCGGGAAAAGTGGGGTGCTTGTCCTTCTCCCAGGGGACACGCCGGCGGCAGGGGGTGCAGGGACCGAGGGACCATGCCCAGTCTGCCCCTGGGGGTCCCTGAGCTGGAATTGCTGCTCGGTGCCACCCAGCTGGTGGAGCTGGGGACAAGGATGGGAGGAGAGTGGGCCGCGGTGGCCAGAAGTCACTGGGGGGTGACTGAGGGTGGCAGATGGTGGCGAGGAGGGCCACTGAGCGGTACTGGAGGCCACCGGATGACACGGTGGATGGCAGGTGGGTGGCACTGTGGTCACGCGTGTGCCAGGACGGGGGAACAGATAAGTGGCACCTGAGTGGGGGACCCCGCTGGGTGTATGGGGGACACCGGGGCAGAGTGATCCGGGGAGGCAGCGGCAGCATCTCGTCCGCCGAGCCGGGGCGGGTCGGGGCGTGCCGGCCGATGGCGGCCCCGCCCCGAATGTCGCAGCCCCGCGGTGCCGCGGAGGCGGCGCCGGGCGCGGCGCAGAGCGGAGCGGAGCGGAGGATGCTGCGGGCGGGGGCCGCCGCCAGCCCCGCTCCCGGCCCCCGTCCCGGTCCCGGGCGGGAGGAATCCCCGCCGCCCCCCGCCCGCTGAGCCCGGCCCGGCCATGGGGGCTCTGACCAGCCGGCAGAACGCAGGGGTGGAGGAAGTGGATATCCCCGCTAATTCCGTCTACAGATATCCCCCGAAATCCGGTGAGCCCCCCGGGGGTTCTCGCGTCCCGGTGCCGCCGACGGGGAGGGAAAAAGGGGAGCGAATCAGGCGGGCACCGGGCACGACCTTGCTCCGGGCAGGGGTGACCCTGCACACCCCAAAGAAAACGCTGACGCACAGGGGGGCACCCTAAAAATCTGGGTCTGGTGCGGGACACCCTGCGTGAGTGCGGCGCGGGAGGGATCGGGGTCACTCCTCTCCGGGCGCCCCTTGGCCAGTACACCCCGCTTCCCAAACTTGGCTGAGTTGACGCGACTTTAATGACATTATTGTGATAATTATTTCTGTAGCCGTGGTCTGCGGCACCGGGTTCCGGAGGCGCTTTTTATAGCCGGTTACTCGGGTGCTGGCTGCTCGGGGAAATCCCGGGTTTAAATTCCCGGGAGGATGAGGGAGGCTGGGGTGGGAGGGATTGGAGGGGATCCCTCCTTCCCAGGGCTCTGCCCCGTCGTAGCACCCCAGTCCCTGCCGTGGGAAACCTTCCCCTTCCTGGCTCCTCTCCCTGCCTCCAGGCTTGCTGGTGATGCATCTCTCGCTCCCGAATCCGGCCCTGTCTCAAACCTTGTGCGTGACCTTGGAAAATCCGTCCCTCCCCTCAGTGCCTCACTTTTCCCTGCAAGGGCTGGGCTGAGCGAGTGTCCGAGGGGGGCACGCTGGGGAGGGAGGGGTGATGGGGTCCAGCCCTTGGGTGGGCAGCGCTTCAGAGCCGCAAAAATACCAGCACCGGTGAGTGATGCCCCGGAGCACCGTGCGTGCATGTAAGGAGATTGCACAGGATCCTTGCAGCACTAAATATTATTAATAGGTAACTATTTTGGTAGTTAATAGGATAAGGTAAACGCTCGGATCGTTAGCACTGTGACAAATTACTCGCTAATTACAACTAAAGACCTCCTTAGCAAGAATTACAGCCAACACAAGCCCTGCTTGTGTCTTGAAAAGCTGTGCTTGCCTTTCTTTTAAAAAAAATTTAATCTAAAATAGGTTGCACAGCTGGCTGGAGATGGCTGATCCTTGACAGCCTGGCCTCCCGCAGGGCTCCCCCAGCTCTCCTTTTGACAGGGTTTCAAGGCCTCTGTCACTTTGATGCCAGGTGAGGCTGGGCCAGCCCATCCATGGGATTGCTCTTTGTAGGGACAGGGTCTCCATGCATTACAAGTTTTTCCCTTGGGACCCTGTCTTATTTAGGGGCTCTTGAAATATCGGGGTACAAAGGGGTGGAGGGTGCAAGTGCACCCAGCGCTTCCAAACTCATCTCAGCTGGCAGAGGTCAGCAGGCTGATGCTTAGCTCTGGTTTATCAGGGAGAGCCCGGGGCTCCTGGCTGTGCTCAGCTGGCCCAGTCCCACTGCTGGGTTCTGTGCTGAGCTGGGGGGAATGGTCCTGGCGCTGCCCAGGTCCTCAGGAGAGGGGCAGGAGATGCCCAGGTGACACAGCCATCTGCACTGGGACAAGGACAGGCTGGTAGCCCTGGGAGATTATGGCTGGTTTGCCTTTAATCCGAGTGGGATTTGCCTTCAGCTCTGCCGGCAGCCGAGGGAGGACGTGCCGGGCAGCGGAGCTGATTCCTCCGCGGCAGCAGCGATTTCCTCACCTCAAAACAGCCACTGGCTTTGGAAATGCGGTCCTGGAGGGGAGTCTCATGGCTCCTTGGGGCATTTCCCTCTCTCTGTGGATGTGGCTTTGGCTTTTGGGCTCTCTTAGGATGGCCAGTGCAGCCTGTAGGAATAGGGCAGCTGTGTCTTGTCCCAGTTTAGCATCTCCCCATCCTGAGGGTCCCATCCCCTCCAGAGAGGGTGTCAATGGGATTTGTTAAGCCATAATTTTTGAAACAAAGGCTGAAATTTACTTTGGTGGCTGCCACTGGGAGGGAGAGCCAGCGGGGGTGCAGATGGAGCCCATTGCCAGGCTACTGGGATGGCTTTTGGGGCAAGTCTCCATCTTTCAGCCCCTGTCCCCAGCTGAGGTCAGCACCGAGCTCCCCTGGGGGACATGGGACTGTGAGCAGGGCCCTGGCTGGGTGCAGGAGCACAGGGATTAATCCAGCAGTGACACCCCCAGTCCTGGGGGCACAACCCCAGGTGGTGGCAGAGCCACGGCGGGCGAGGGCTGACGCAGCAGTGCTGAGGACACGGTTTGGCATCAGCTCCCTGTCAGAGCCACTGGCTCTGGCTGCCTGCTTCAGAGCATGGAATTAAATAATGGGCTGCCCAGGGGCAGAAGCACCCAGAGCCTTTAACCAGCCCATCACAGCACTCTATGCTGGCACCTGTGGCCGCAGGGTGTCCCTGTCCCAGCCCCATGCCGTGGCCACCGTCTGGGCTGACCGCAGGCTGTGCAAACCTGGGGCTTCCCTCACCACGAGTGTGTGGATGAGCTGGAAGTGAACTTTTCTGTTTTTGCAGCTTTGGAGAGTGAGGCTATAACATTGGAGAGCCAGAGGCCCCAGTACCAGAGACCAGCTGGGCAGCCATGGCTTGGGGCACAGTGCAGGATGTGTCACTGCATGCCAGAGCCACAGGCACAGCACACACCAGGGACCTCACCCTTCTCTGTCACCTGAACAAGGTGGCATCACTGGCACTCATGGGGAAAAGGAGCTGACAGCTGGTGCCAGATGTGTTCCTGTCTGCTGGTGCCAGCAGATGTGCAGGACAGAAAGACTTTTTTTTGCTGGGAACCTCAGGCAATTTGGGCTTATTGCTCCTTTCCAGCAGCTGCTCTGTGCAGCCCTTCCTGAGATGTGGCTGTCCTTGACAGGCTCTACTTCCCCAGGAGTGGGTGTTGGATTTACAATCAGCTCATAATAAGGTGGTTGTGCTGGGAAGGTGCTTTCCTGCTCTGCCCCCCAGCCATGCCCAGGGAGTCACCAACACGCTCCTGCCAGCCTTTCCTGTGCTTCCCTGGAAAAGCCTGGCACGACTCAAGCCTCTTGTTTAACAGCAAGGAGAACCTTTCCTGGGAGGTGAAGCCTCTGGGGGATGTGCTGGGAGCCTGCAGCACCCAGGGATGTTCCCAACCCCTGACGGGGAGACTGGGTGATGGCAGCGTGGTCCTCACCTGCTCTGTCCATCCTGTGCAAGCCCCCAGCACACACTGAACTGTGGCTGGGCTGATCACAGAGAACCTGTGCTCCATTTTCCAGCTTTTTCTCAGTGCTGGGGTGGCTTTTCTCCATGCTTAAATATAATTTTCTTGCCATCTCCTGCTCTTACTCCAAGTTGGTGTCAGGAGAAGCTCTGGGTGGCCCCATTCTCCCCTGGCTGTGCTGTTGCAGGCACTTTGCTCTTGGGGCTTTTTTTTCCACGTGGCCGAGTCCTTCCAGGCGAGCTGCCTATAAATTATGTACATGGAAAATGGGACCTGAAAGCAGCAGGCATCAATAATTGATGGTCGACGTTTGCTAACGGGCTCGCTGCATCTGGGCATCCCTGCACCACGGGACCCACTCATCCCTCCTGGCCCAGGGTTAGATCCCCCTCCTCCTCCCCTTGGGCTTTGGGTTCCATTTTGGGTTTAAGTGCAGTATTAAAGCCTGATCCCGCCCTGGACGGTTCCTGCCTCTGTTGGAAGCTGATTTCAAGCTCTGATTTCAGTACCCACAAGCAGACCTGCAGCCCAGGCTTGAGCTCCTTTATCTGTGGTCCCCAATTGTTTGGTTTTGGGGTATCCCCCAGGGTGTGCAGATGGATCTGTGCTGGTGGATTTGGGGTTTTTATAAGCTAAACCCTGTTCCTGTGGCTGTCAGGATGTAGGACACTGTGTCCATGTCTGACTCCTGGTGTTTCTGCTCACCCCTTGCTGCTGCCCCATCCCTGCCCACCTTTCCCTTTTTTCCCACCTCAAGTCCCATCCCTCCTGCCTGGCCAGTTCCTGTGCCACAACATGCTTTCCCCACACAGCCCAGATCTCATGGACAAGGAGCAAGCACTGGTTGGCTCCTGGCTGGGCTGGGAGGAAATTCTCCTCTAGTGGAGAAGTGCCTGCTGACCTGGGGGCTGCTCCCAGCTCGGGGCCAGGACATTCCGGTATTTTGGTTTTGTAAGGGAAGAAGGGATGGAACCCTGGTCATTGCCCAGCATTCAGGGCATGTGGAGCACTCTGCAGGGCAGGTGCTGACCTCCTGGAGGGTCCACAGGACCCCAAAATCCTGCCTCCTGCAGGTGAGCGCTTCCTAGGGAAGGCTGCAGGCTGAGAACTGACAGAACTAGGTTCAGCTGCAGCCAACCTGGGCAGTGCCAGGCTGTGGACTCGCTGCCTTGGGTGGCACACGAGGTGTGTGACCTCAGGCTGTGGGCAGGAGCAGCCCTGCCCGTTTTGAGGGTGTATGCCGGGTCCATGCTGCCCTTCCCGGCAGCATCCCTGGGCATGTGGGAGCCAGCCCGGCTCCTCCGGGGCTCGCAGGGTTCTCTGGCAGGTCAGGCTGTGCCCCTGCCTCTCCTGCCTCCTCGGGGAATGAGCTGATGTTTATGGCCACGATTAGCTCTGCTCTGCTGCCCCAGCAGCCGTCTCCTCCTCCTCCTCCTCACGGACCAGGATCCCTCTGCTCCTGCTGAAGGTCAGGGTGACCTTGGGTGGCTCAGGCCATTCCGGGGCTTACAGGGATTTCTCAGACAGGGAAAGGGGAGCAGGCACAGTTCAATGCCACGGATGATGGCGCTGCCATGGGGCTGGACCCCCGCACCAGCCTCTCCCCATCCCGGCTCCGTGTGCTCAGGCTCGGACCGTGGTGCTGAAGCCGGGGGGATGCAGGAGGAGGGGAGAGCAGGCAGGGATTGCGGCTTCTTGGCAGCCTCTGCCTGCCTGGGGGCTCTCAGAGTGTGAGCTCAAGCAGAAAGGCTCCCAGCAAGGTGACCCTGGGGACAAAGTCACCTCCGAGCCATCGATCCGGTGGCTTCGTGCCGCTCCATCTCCCGGGCGGAGCCCCCTCCTCCCTCTCCGCTCAGGCGCTGCTCTGTTTTGCTTTCAGGGAGTTACTTTGCCAACCATTTCATCATGGGCGGGGAGAAGTTCGACTCCACGCACCCCGAGGGGTACCTGTTCGGCGAGAACAGCGACCTCAACTTCCTGGGGAACCGGCCCGTGGTGGTGGGTACCGGGGGGACAGGGGGGTGGGGGGTCCGGAGCACGGGCACGCCCCTTCCCAAAGCCGTGCTGGCTGTGTGTGTGTCATGGGGTGTGCGGGATGAGGCTGCTGGCTGTCCCCCTCCATGGACAGAGCCCTGAGTGGATTCTCTGATGGTTCATACAAGGGTTGGGTTCCTGCTGCAGCCTGTCCTCTATGCAGGAGTAATGGTGAAAGGGAACTAGGCTGATTAAATCCAGCTTCTTTCTCATTCCCTCTCCAAGAGTTGCATTTTCTCTTGCCTTCCCCATCTCATCCAGCAACTATATCCCAGACAGGAGGGCACATGGTGGAGACATAACACAGAGGAGCTGGTGTGGTTCAGGGTAGTAGAGCAGCTTGGGCAGGAACAGGTGAAATTACTCCCCAAGCTCTAGCAAGAAGGGGAAAGAAATAAAATAAAAGTAAAAAGGCAGGGGTTGGGGCTGGCATGGATGGGTTTTGCAGTGCTGGATGCCAGCAGCTCCAGCTGGTCTCGGGGCACAAGGGAATCTGCTGAAGGGGGGGTCCCTACACCCCACACAGCTCCTGGAGATGGTTTTTGTTCTTGCTGCCTTTGGAAAGGAAGGAAATGAGACCAGGGGTTCAGCCTGGGGGTGATGTCTCCCTCTCATCCGGGTGCCTCAGCAGTGAGACAACTCACAGCACTGGCTGGAGGAGGTTGGGGGGTCAAGTATTCAAAAGATTCAGGGTGAGGACTTAAAAGTCACCAAAGCTTTTCTGTTAAGTCCAGATAAACTTGCCTGGTGCTTTGGTCCAGCTCTCAAGCATTGCCAGCAAGGTTCCTGTTTCCTCCTTGGAATTGGCTTTGGTACTGTTTTGGCAGCATCATGTGGTGCTTCAGCAGGGAAGTGTCCAGCCCTGGGTTGTGCCAGAGCAGGGATCCTGGCAGAGCCAAGGTCAGGAGCAGCCACAAAGCACACGAACACGGGGTGGGCAAAGGCAGTGCCTTTCTCTGCCTTTCTCTCCATCCTGTGTGCTTCCCCAGAAAATGAGAAGTCAGCACTCAGGGCCTCTTCCATAAGCGAGTGTTGAGAAATCCTCTTGATTACAGTAAAAGCCTCTAAACTGCCCAGTGAGCAGTTCCCATGTCAGCAGCCCTGACAGCAGAGCAGCAGGGAAGGCAAAGGAACAGCTTGGAAACAGCAGAGAGAATTAATATAGCATCACGAGCTAAATTGTCTTGCTCTGGTTTAATTACCGATGGCTCTGGGCTGCAGAGCTGTGACCAAGATCCCACCTCCCTGGGGAGCAGGGTGAGTTCTGGGGCTGGACTTTTGGGTCAGGCCAGTTTTGGGGGCTCAAGGAGGAGCTGGGGAGGATCTGTGTTGGTTCTGGTCCAAGGCTGTGTCCAGGCAACACTTTGTGCCTCTCTGATGCTGCCTCCAAGTCCTGTCCTGATGCTTCTTGGCTGTGATAGTTTTGCTTTCTGGCCTTCTGTGAGAGCCCTGGCGGGGCTGGAAACAATAAAGACAACCACTGCTTTTTGGTGGGGGATTAATTTTGGGTTCCTTGGGGGTCAAGGGCCAGGAGATCTTAGAAGAATTGTGTCCCGTGTCCTCTGTGAGCAGAGCACTTTGTCTGAGCTATGAACAGCGCTGCTGCCACAGGGATCTGCAGGGCAGCCAGAGGCTGTGCAGGTTCTCCCCTCCATGGATACATGATAATCTGGATTTTCCAGCTGAGAGCAGGTTCCCAAGGGGCTGGGAAGGGCGTTGCAGGTTGAAGTAGCTGCTACCATGCAGGGGCTGAGGAGCAGAGAAGCTGCTGGAGGCACTCAGAGAGCACAGGGGAAGCCAGGAACTGATGAAATGTGCCACTGGGTTTCCCTGCCCACGCAAAGCTGCTGGGATTTGCTTGTAGAAAAACCCAAAAAGACAGACTTTTGAGGGTGGTTTTTATTTCACTTTAGCAGAAGCTGGCCTGCACCAAATGTTGCTATAGGCACGTGGATGGCATTCGTAACTTCACCGCAACCATTACCCATTTTTTTCTGTTGTGTTTCAGCTTGATTTAAAGTGAGGAGATGCAAAACGTCCTCTGAAGAGCCCCTTTCTGATGTGCAAAATCTGGCTTGTAAAATTTAATTAAAAAAAAAAAATCCAACCACCCCCAAAAAGTGCATTTCACACGTGGGAGTGAAAGAGCCTGAAGTGGTTTCTGCAGCACAAAATTTGCCTGTGGCACTTCCCCATCCTGCCAAGCACAACGGCCCCTGTGGGTGGCACCCAGGGGACCTGGCTGCCCTTTCCCTCCTCTGTCACCCACCCCTGGCTGCTGCAGCAGGAGGAGGGGTGCACCCATGGGTGCTGTCCCTGCCAGGGCTGATTTGGGTATGGTTTGACTGAGTGAAGCAATTTTGGATGACTGCATTAGTTTGAATAACAGGGGATGTATCACGACATGGCACAGCATGTCATGACATGGCTCGGCTTCAGCCTGGGGTGTGTTCTCACTCTCTCCCCTCCAGCTGCAATGGGTGACTCTGCAGGTGCTCAATTCTGCAGGTGCACATTTAGTGACTCATAAAAAAGTTCGTTAACAGCAGTTTAATGACTCTGCTGCCCTTTACCCCTCCTGGAGAAGATGAGAGCAGTGAGACGCAGTTCCACAGTGCTGGGAATTCATTTCCAAAGCCTCTGATGCCATCAGCCACACTGTGTCCAGCCTAGGCCTTAATCTGCATTTAGTGGCCCCACTAAAGTGTTGGGATCAGAGCTGTGCCTGCACTGAGGGGTTCTGCCAGCTGCTGTCCCATCCCGTCCCTCTGAGCCCAGCACGGGTCCCCCAGTCCCATCCATCCTGCTCTGCAGGGCTTTGGGGACAGGAAAAGTGATGGTGGCTTTGAGGACAGATTAAGTGATGATGGTTGTCCCATGTGAGAGCACCAGGGACATGGGAAATGGGCATCTGGCTCCCTGCAGGGCATCCCCAAGTGCCACCTGCAATCTGGTCTTGTCCCCCTGGTATTGGGGTGCAGTGGGTGCCTTGGTGAGGGACAATGGGACACTATTCCCTCTCCAGAGGCAGCAGTTGAGGCTCTTTGACCATCTGCCATCCCCGATGGCACCTCACACCCTCCTGGCTCTGTCTGTCCCCTGGCACATGGTGGCAGTTTGCCAATGAGCTGGGCCTTAATCAGGGCTGATCCTTTCAGGAGCCAAACCTACCTGGGAGATGGAGATGGGTCCTGTGTCACTTCCCTACTGCACTCAGTCTCCTTTGGGTGACTGCTGTGTCCCCTGGGTGCCACCATGTCACCTCTCCCCAGGGAGCCTTGTAGCCCCTGTCAAGTGGACAGAAAGGACTGGGAAGGACAATGTCACCTTGGAGGAGGGATGCTGCTGCCTGCCTGCTCCTGCCCAGACACCTTACTGGCTCTGTGCTCTGGGCACAGGGCTGGCAGGGATCCCACCACCCAAATCCCATCCACCACAGGGAGGAAATGGGGATTCTTGTGTCTGGTGGGCAGGGAGGGAGCTTCAGCCTCTCTCTTCCCAACCTCAAACAGCAGCATAAAAATCCATCGGTAGCCTTCCCTGTGCCCCACATCCCCCTCACCCTCCAGCCAAAGGGACAAGGAACAAGCCCCTCTGTGTGTCCCCTCCCCAGTGAAACTGTCCCTGCTGTCCTGGGCTTGCTGTTTGTGGAGGGATGTCCCTGTCATGGTGCTGCCTGGTACCCAAATTCCAGCAGGAGCTGCAGGTGCTCAGCACCCATCAGGATGCCCAGGCCACCCCAATTCCCTCTGTAGGGTGTTGGGTTTGGGTCACTGGGGGGTCCACAGCCACCGTAGCCCCCCGTGTGCGTGTGCCTTCACCGGTGTCTCTCTCGTCCTAGTTCCCTTACGCTGCTCCACCTCCTCAGGAACCCGTGAAGACGCTCAGGAGTTTAATCAACATCCGCAAGGACACCCTGCGCCTTGTCAAGTGAGTCTGGGCACCCAGCCCTGAGCCTCGGGGAGGGAGGGTCCTGCTGGGTGTGCTGGGTGCTCCCAGGGATGCTGGGCACGGGGCTGCTCTCATTCCAGGATGGATGGATGGATGGATGGAGGGATGAGCTGCTCTCCCAACGTGCCCTTCCCCTCCTGCTTCCCGCATGCCAGCACAGGCAGTGCCGCAGGATTAAAGGAGCTTAGTGCTGCCTTTGAAGTGCTTTGCTTCTTCTTCCTCCCCCCCTTCCAAAGGCTTTGCTGGAGGGAGGCTGGGGATTGCGGCAGGGCTTGAGATTGGGGATTATGGCTGGAATCTGTCTGCGGCATTTCCCAGCCTGCAGGCGCGACCTTGGGCATGCCAGGCACTCTTGGTGTGCCTCAGTGTCCCCTGATGGAGGGCAGCAGCGCCTTTTGGTGCCGAGGGAATTAGTCCTGGAGCACCCCAAGGCCTGTCTCCTGGACCCTCTGTGTGCTCCCCAGGTGCTCGGAGGAGGTGAAGACCCCGGGAGAAGAGGTGAGCAAAGCCAAGGTGCACTACAACGTGGAGTTCACCTTCGACACAGACGCCCGCGTGGCCATAACCATCTACTACCAGGCAACTGAGGAGTTTCACAATGGGGTGGCGAGGTGAGGGGCCCCAGCCAGGCCTGTGTCACCCCCCAGCTTGGCCCATGTCCCCCCGAGCCTGGTGTGTGTCCCTGGCTGATGGACATGGAGCCTCCCCACTGAGCATCTTTCCTCTTCAGGACAGGGAACAGCTGAGGGTGGTGCTGAGATTGGAGGGGGGCTCCTTGTTTCCCCCAGGTGACACCACCAGGTTTTTGCCAACCCTTGCCACCTCCTTCCTTGTCACATCCTGCTCCCTCTTTTTACCTTCCAGTCAGAACTGAGAATGGGGAAATAATTTTCCCCCCCAGACCCCTCCAGGCTGTGGAGTTGTCCCTGTCCCCTCCCATGCTGTGTTGGCTGCCCTGGGTTTACTTTACCCTGTAGATTATTTTAGCCCTTTTTAGAACTTCTTACCTCAGCCCCCAGAGCAATCTGGGAGGGGAGTGAACACACGTCCTCCCATTTTCCTGGCATCTCGGTGATCTGGGGAGAGCAGGAGGAGTGTGGGGACACCCGTGGTGCCCTGACCCTGTCCTCTCTCCACGGCACAGCTACACCCCCAGGGACAACAGCCTGCAGTCCGAGACGGTGCACTACAAGCGGGGGGTGTGCCAGCAGTTCTGTGTGCCCTCCCACACCATCGACCCCTCCGAGTGGAGTGAGGAAGAGGTGGGTGCCCCCAGCCCGACATCATCCCCTGGAGATGGAGGTGGGATGAAGCTTCAGCACTGTTCCATCTCACCAAACCTCCCCTGTCTCTCTCCAGCTGGGCTTTGACCTGGACCGTGAGGTTTATCCCATGGTGGTGCAGGCAGTGGTGGATGAAGGAGAAGGTGAGGAGGGGGTTCCTTGCTGGGCTGGCCTTTCCCAGTTTCTGGCATTGTGGTGCCAGCTGGGCAGAGCCTCCTGCTTTTCCTCACTGCTGCTGTGGCTCTGCCCGTGCCCCTGCACGTCCCCTGAGCCCTGCACGTTCCTTTGTGTCTTGCAGAGCACAGTGGGCACTGCCATGTGCTGCTGGCCACCTTTGAGAAGGTAAGTGCCAAGCTGGGACCATCCTCCCCCTCCTGCTTCCATCACCCACCAGCTACAAGAGCCTGGAGAATTGGGATGGTGCTGCTGGGCTGGGGATGTTTTGGGCTGCTCTTCAAATCCTGGGATTCTTACCTCATTTTAAGCACCCACTTCTAGGGCATTTGGGCTCAACTCCATCTTCCTTCCTCCCACAAGTCTCCAGCTTTGCAATGTGTGTGACCTCCCACAGCTGCCTGGTGCTGGGCTGTCAGGAAAAGACAGAATTCCTGCAAAATGGGCTTGTTGGGAGCGGGGCAGGAGCAGTGACAGCCACAGGGTGGGTGCTCTGGCACAGCAGCCCAGGAGTGCCCACCCATGTGCTCTTTCCTCCCTCCAGCACAGCGATGGCACCTTCTGCGTGAAGCCACTCAAGCAGAAGCAAGTGGTGAGTGTTGGGGTGTCCCTGAGGTGCAGGTGTCCCTGCACACCCTGCAGGGAAGGCACTGAGGGATTTTGGGGAGCCCTAAAAGCTCCAAGCTTCTCCCAGCTTTGCCCCTGCCTCCCAGGGAGTGCAATTTCGAGGTCATGAATACAAAGAGAAGCCCTGGATGTTGGGGGGAGGAGGGCTGGCCCAAGCAGGGGGCAGGGAGTGGCTCTGGGCACTCTCTGCTCCTTACTCCTTTCCCTTCCTCGTGGGATTGTAGGTGGATGGTGTGAGCTACCTCCTGCAGGAGATCTACGGCATCGAGAACAAGTACAACACACAGGACTCCAAGGTGTGCCTGCATCCCAGGGGTCTTCCCTCATCCCTTCTTCCATCCCCTAGCACAGCTCTGGCCACTGAAACATGCTCAGGGCAAGAGTTTGCAGCACAGCACCGAGCTGGTCATGGCTGGGGACACTTCATGTTGGCATCGAAGCTGCTGGAGGCAGAAAACTGAAACACTGAGCTTTTCCCCCCATCTTTTGTGATTCCTTGGGGGAAGGGTGATGGTTTAGATGGGGAGCATGGGGCTCAAGGCATGGGATGTGCCTTATGCTCTGCTTTAACATGTAAAAAATGGGGTGAAAGTTTGGGTTTCTGTTTCCTTTGGCCTCACCTCCCAGCCTCCTGGAGGAGAGGAATGAGGTCCCAGGGGGGCATTCCAAGAGTAGGCAGCCCATGGACACAAGCAGAACTCTCTCTGAGGACCCAGCCAGTATTTTAGAGCACCCACCCTGGTTCCACGTGGGCTGGGGACCCCTGAGCAGTTTCCTGCTGTCCCTTGGGCAGGTGGCCGAGGACGAGGTGAGCGATAACAGCGCCGAGTGCGTGGTTTGCCTGTCGGACGTCCGGGACACCCTGATCCTGCCCTGCCGCCATCTCTGCCTCTGCAACACCTGTGCTGACACCCTGCGCTACCAGGCCAACAACTGCCCCATCTGCAGGCTGCGTAAGGCCCGGGGGGAAGCTTGGGTGGGCTGTTGGCATCTCTGGGAATGGGCAGGTGTCTGCTAAGAAAGGCAGGAGCCTCTCTTTGAAATGGAGAATGTAAACTCCCTCCCTCCAAATTACAATTTTGAAATTAAGGGGCTCTCTCAGGCAAAGATATGGGAATAGGAATAAAAGCTCTTTACTAGGAAAATTAAAATAGAAATACAGTATTACAATGACAGAGTCAGAATTAACCTGACATGCCATCAGTCAGTCAGGGTGTTGGTGCAGTCCCATTAAATGGTGGGTGCATCCTCCTGCAGTGACAGATGTGGTTCAGTTGAAGCAGTGCTCCTGTAGAAGGGTGCAGCTTTCCTCTGAAGGTCCAGTGATGATGTGAAAAGGTCCGACTTTCCTCTGGGATCCAGTGGAAAAAAGGCTGCCTTGGTATTCCAAATCTCAGTTTTTATCTAGGTAGGAAATTTTTAGCTCCTCCCCCTCGATGGAGCATCTCCCAAAGGGATGATAAAATTTTATCAGTCGCGCACTGAGACTCAATGGCTCGTTAACAGAAGATATCCTCCTGGAGGAAGGATGGGTTGTGGAAAAGATAAAGAACACTGCCCCACCTGGTTTAACATGGCCCATTAGCAGAGAATAAGATCAGAGATAAGGATCACTGCCCCACCCGGCCTCAACAGATGGTGATAGAATGCTTTTGGTCACATCCTGTATTGCAACCTAGAAATGGGCTGGCATCTCTAAGAATGGGCTGGCATCTCTAGGAATGGGCTGGCATCTCCCACTCTGGAGCTCTGCAGTCCCTCTACCCCACTGGGGATGCCCCTCTTGGAAACAGAGTGTCATTTTTTGACAGGTCTCCTTTCAATGCCTGGTTTTCACTCCTCCCTTTTTTTTCCCTGCTGCCGCAGCTTTCCGAGCCTTGCTTCAAATCCGAGCCATGAGGAAAAAGCTGGGCCCGCTCTCGCCCACCAGCTTCAACCCCATCATTGCCTCGCAGACCTCTGACTCCGAGGAGCACTCGGTCAGTGCCTGGCTGAGGGTGGGACCCTGGCCTCTTCCACCAGGATGGGGAGGTTTGGGGATCCAGGGTTTGTTTGTTTATTGCAAATTGATCTTGCAAAAAAAAGCAGAGTCGATATTAAAAAAATAAAAGAAGAAAGGATTTTGACAGGGTAGCCATTCTCTAGGTGTGAGCTTCTTCCTGGGGCATCTTGGTCCTACTGTGAGTGAGAGGTCAGCAAAATGGCCCAGGGAGGATCCTCACCCCGTGTCCCCCTCTCTGCAGTCCTCGGAGCACATCCCCCCGGGGTACGAGGTGGTGTCCCTGCTGGAAGCCCTCAATGGGCCACTGACGCCGTCACCGGCCGCGCTGCCCCTGCGAGCGCTGGGGGACCCCCCGGGCGTGGGGACCCTGCCCTCCTATGGCAGCGATGGCCCCCTGCCCCCCCTGAGGGCCCTGTCACCCCTCGAGCGCCTGCCCGACTGCGGCCCCCCGGGGCTCAAGCTGAAGAAGAGCATCTCCAAGTGAGTACTGGGGTGGGCACGGAGGTCTGGGGGTGCTCAGGGGGTCTGGGGGCTGTGGGCAGGGGTGAAACCCTCTGCTCTGCCCCTTTGGCCAGGTCTATCTCACAGAACTCCTCTATCCTGCCCGAAGAGGAGGATGAGAAGTCATGCACCGAGTCAGAGCTGAGGGTCTCCAGGAGGAGATCCCCAGCCCGGCACGAGGAGGTGAGCACTGTCCAGAATGTGCTGGTAAAGAGTTGAGGCACTGGAGGGGGGCAGCAAGCTTGGGGGAGGCTTGGGACCAGAGAGACTGGCTGGGGTTGCCCCTCCTGGCTCTTCCTCCATCCATGAGGATGCCTGGAGGAGATGGGCCGTCCATGCTGAATATCCCCATCCCATCCTTCCCATGGGCTCCTCTTCCAGGAGTGTGGTGCGACACCAGAGAGTGAAAACTTCACCCTGTCATCATCAGGAGCCATCGACCAGTCCTCATGCACTGGGACACCCCTCTCCTCCACCATCTCGTCCCCAGAAGGTACAGCATGGAGGGGCTCAAAGGCGCTGGCAAGGCAGGAGAGTGGCATCATGGTTTCAGGACTGTCACACTGTGGGGGGATGGAAAAAGGGGTGGGATGGCCCCTTCTTACCCTGCCATGGACATTGGATGGAGTCCCAGGGCGTCACCTCTGCTTTGTCACCCTATAGACCCAGAAACGGGGGGCTGTGAGCCCTGGGGACCTGCTGCTGGCAGCTTTGCACCCATCACATCTCCTTGACATGCAGCCTGTCCTTCGTCTGCACCCTACTCCTCCTCATTAGCCCCTCATTAGTGGGTGCTGTGCCATGTCTCCCACCAGAGGGTGGGGGGGTCCAGCGGCCCCCTCAGCCCCTGCTCTCCCCCAGAGCCCGTGAGCAGCAGCCTGGCTCAGTCCGTCATGTCCATGGCCTCCTCCCAGAGCCAGCACTCCCAGCTCAGCACTGACACCGTGTCCTCCATGTCTGGCTCCTACATCGCCCCTGGCACGGAGGAGGAGGAGGAGGAAGAGGAGGAGGAGGAGGGGGACATGCTCCCCTCACCCGCGGCTGCGAGTGCCACAGCCTCTGATGGAGAGGTAGGGACTGGGGATTGTTGGTGGAGCCCAGGTTGGAGAGCTTCCCCATGAGATCCGACTCCTCCTCCAAAACCACTGGCACCAGACTTTTATTTTGTTTTCCTTCCATCTTTCCCATCTTCCTCCTACAGTCAACACCTGTGGAGTCCCCGGATCTAAATTTTGTCAGCATTTCTGCCGAGGAGCGCGATGCCGAGGTAACCATAACCATCCCACGAGGAACTGGGAGCTGTGGTGTCACCCAGCACCCTGGGGGGATCCCAGCTGTGCCCATGGAGGGGGAGGCTGGGCAGCTGGCACCACATTCCCTCAGGGCTGGGCTGGGGAAAGGGCTGCCCATGCATCCATTCCCTGCAGGATGCCCTGGGGATGGATGGAGCAGTGCCTCACTGACAGTCCTAATCCATGGAATGCCCAGGGCCAGGGATGTTCCCCCAAAGAGACCTGGGAACAGCCCCTGGCACAGCCCTGGGCTAACACTCGCTGCCTCTCATCTGTCCCACAGGGAAATGATGTGCTGGAGGACGAGGACGCCTCTCCCACACAGGAAGATGGTAAAAGGCCCTGGGTCGTTGTCCCCTCGCTTTCAGCTCACTGTCGCCACAAGTGGGGGTGCTGTGCTGTCCCCAGCTCCCCTGCTGCCATCAGGGAGAGCCCTGTGGGACTCTGCAGGCATTGGAGTCAGGGAAACATCTGTCACAGTGGGGACACCCACAGGGGTCTGAACACCAGTGGGTGGGGTTGCCAGCCAGCCCCAGGGACCCCAGAGAGCTCAGTGTGGGGCATGGAGCAGGTGATGGTAGGTGTGCAGGGTCCAGTGGTTTTTCCAACGAGCCAAATAGAAAAGAGGCTTCTCTCTCTATGTTTTTTTCCCTTGCCAAGGTCTTTTCTCAAATCTCTGAAACTCTCCCCTGTAGAAATCAGTGTCTGGGCTGATTCCCATAGGAAGGGGCTGCAGAGCTGTTCCCTCTGGGATGCATTCCTCACTTTCTTTGGCCTGTCCTCAATGTCAACACATGCACATCGAGGGCTCGTCTCACCTCCTCCCTTGAGCTCAGACAGCCATTGGCCACCAACTGCCCTGGATTGCTTTTGGGCAATAGGGAGGCCTACCCTGTGCCTCCTCCCACATTTCCAAGTCTGTTTTTAGCAAAAATATGACAAAACTATTTCTCCATCCAACCTGGATGCTCAGCCAAGCTGGAAAGCAGGAACACCCACAGAACACCCATCCCCAAATCATGGCCTCTGACCTGCAGAGAGGCTCGTGCTGATGGGGAGATTCAAGTATAACAAATAGGAACAACCAGGGGCTGTGGTGGACATCCATGGGCATCCCAACAACTCTGGGGGCAGGATGGCTTTTCTCCTTAGGACACAGTCCTGCACCTGTTCTCAGCAGGGCTACTGGCATGTTTGGGAACATCAATCCTGAGGTTTAGTCACCTGCATCTGATGGATGCAGGTAAGAACCTGGGGGCTGATCTCTTGTAGAAGCAATGCTAAGAAGCAGAGTTACCTCCCTCATCCCCAAAAGCCTCCATCCCCCCTGCAAAAGCTTGGCTATGGCTTCTTTTGCCCCACGCATCCAGCTACTGCCTCTTCCTGGCATCCACGCAGCTCTCACTGCACTGCTGGTGCTGGAGAGGCTCCTGCAGGAGGTGATGGGTGCCACCACAGCCTGGCTGTGCCAGAGGGAAGGTTTGGCTGAAGCCCGGGCAGGCTCATGCGTGTCCCCGTGGCCGCATCGTCGCTGTTCCGCTGCGCTCCGATGTGGCCGGTGGGGAAGGAGCAGCTCGGGTTGTGCCCAGGCGTTATTGTCCACTCTTCACCCGCTCCCACCCGGATGCATCGTTTCTATGTCATTTTTTTTGTTTCGAAAGAGGCTGGGGAAGGGAGAGGAGAAGCCCCAGAAATCCCAGTGCTAAAAAGGCGACGTCGAGCCCCAGCCCGGCCGCGGCGTTAACTGCCTTAACTCCCTTCCAGGCCCGAGGACAGGCGCTTTCCTCGGTCTGAGGTGTGACAATAACAATGACATGGGCATCGCACACGTGAAAGCGCTGGACAATAAACTGTGCTCTGAGGCCTGCTTACCTGGTGAGTGGCCATCTGCTGAACATGAACTTGGGGTGGGGGGGACAGTTCCGCTCTTTCCTGCATCCCCTCAGCCCTTTGCATCCATCCCTCCTCTCCCATCACCATCATTGCCACCATCCCCGCCAAGCTGTCCTCACTGCACCTCTCCACCCATCCCTCCGTGGGGCTGAGCACCAGACACGTCACCACCCGTAGGTCACGGTGGCCTGTCCACACTGGGATGTCCCAGACTTGCTTTGCTGGGATTCTCTGTCCCTTGGCCAGGGGGCTGCTGGCACCCCAGGAGGCACCAGCCCTCCTTAGAAAGGTGGTTGTGTGGCACAACTGTAGCCTGGTACAGGCTTGTGGTGGGCACAGCAATATTTTGTCTTGGGATGTGATCCACAGGCAGTCCAGCTGTACAGCAGGAGCTGCCTGCCTTGTTCTCCTCTTCCTCCAAGGCCAGGGAGATGGGGTGTGTCCATCAGGTCATCTTTCTACAGAGCCCCAACCTTCATCTGTCTTTCCCATTTCTTCATGCTTTCTCCCCCACCCTCCTTCCACTTTTGTTTCCTCCCAGCCTCTCTCCATCCCTTTTTTTTCTTCCTTTCCCCCAGGCTCCTCCGTCCGTGTGAAAGTTCATGTTCGCTCTGTGCCAACACGGTTCTCTCCACCCACGCTTGTAACCCTCCCCTGCCCAGAGTTGCCCAAAGGTGACAAATGTATTGAGCACCCCTGGCCCCTGTGGGGAAGGGGGCAATGGGCTGGGGAACCCTGCCCAGCCCTGCAGGCTCTGCTTCCTCAGCCTGTGTGTGGGGAAACGAGACAAAAAGCCAAAACACCTTCCATGGGGTCTCTGTCAATACATTTGTGGACAAGCTGAAAGCAACTCTGCCCCTGCCTTGCCCCTTCAGCTGACTTTGTGGCAGGCACCAGACCTGCAGCAGGTACTGGAGAGCCAAGAGAGTGGGTGAAACCCACTGGAGGGAAGGGAAATCCTATCTTCTCCCCTGCTCCTTTGGGAAAGCCTCCTCTCCTGCTGCCTTGCCTGTTCCTGGTGGTTTCTGTGCTGGAGAAACACGGCTGATGCTCTTGGAGAGGAACAGGCACCTGCCACAAAAGCCCTGTGTCCCCTCCATCACCCTCTGTCAGCAGCTGGCTGAGTCCTGCTGGCCTGGAGGGGCTGGCGAGGGAGCTGGGGGTGTCCCAGCAGCACCTCTGCTTTGCTGGAGGGCCTGCAAAGCATCCCTTGGCTGTGGCAATGGCCAGAGCCATCCTTGACTGCATCCCTCCTGGTTGTGCTGGGGGGAGGATGAGGAAGAGAGAGCTTTGCAGCCAGATGGCTCCGGCACAGGGTCAGATTCTTGCTCTGCTGTGAGGTGTGCACTGGCCTTGTCCCCTGCCTGGGCTGGGGTGCAGGGGCTGGTCCCTGGGCTGAGCCCAGCCAAGGATGCCCTCTCCATCCTTTGGCCAGCACATCTGCCCACGTGTCCAGCAGCTGCAGCCCTCAGCACGAGCTCTGCTGCATGAGAGGGGTGACCCAGCCTCAGCGTTTGTGGGGAAAAGCAGAGGGCTGCCCCCCGTGCTGGGACCAGGGGCAGAGGAGGTGCAGAGTGGGGGTTTGGGGGCTGTCCATGGTCCCCTGAGAATGGCAGACATGATGTTCTCCATCCCTTTTCACTTGCTGTAGGATACAAGACATTTTTTCCACATAATAATGGACAGTGATCATTGTTTTCTGACTTTCCTTTTTGAGTTGTTTGTACCAGTTTGTGTAGATCAGGATGTTTCAGCAGTTTTTAACCAGGGTAATGTCCATTTCAGTAGGGGATGGAGACAAAGTGTCATGTAATATATCTAACATACATTTTGGTGCACAGTTTTTGGTAGGGAGTAGCTGAAGTCACACCCTGCTCTCTAGGTGAAGTTACAAATGCATGGATTTAAGCAGTTACAAAGCTGTATCTTTGTGTCATCTGCTGTTAAATTATCACAAGGGGGTCTTAGACACCCACACCCTTATCCTGTGATACTGGAATGGATTCAGGGCTATTATCAGGAGACATTTCAAAATTATAAACATAGTTCTGTGTCCAAACACACAGCTTAGGCTTACAAAATATTACTTCCACATACAGACCCCTGTCATTCTCTCACACACAACCATCTACATCAGTGGTTTGCCATGCATGTGTATGATTGTTCTTAAAAGCCCATGCTCAGTGTTCCAATGGATCTAATACCACAAGCATTTGGTGCTTGGTACGTACAGAAGCACTGTTAAGATGAATGCTGTGACCTTACTAGTGATGGGGACACAAGAAAATTTGATTAAAGACCACCAGGATTGAAATGCCCTTTTGGATTTCAACGAATAAAAGTCCCTTTTCCCATTTAGTGATTATCCCAGCACTGGTAGAGTGTAACCACAACTGAGCTGGACTACAGCTGAGTGCTGAAGAAACTGCTTTGAGCAATTCCCAGACCATCAGCCAGTTGGTCATCAGCATTTGGATATTTTTGATATTTGAAGCTGATCACTGATCACCAAGAGTGGATAAGGAAGACCTTAAGGCTTGATCTGTAGTGTTCAAATTATTAGTGGTTGCACCCAAATGATCAGTCAGAGTTTCAAGACTGATATTGTTCAATACTCCTATTGCAGTTCCAAATATATCAGTTAGATGTGTGAGGTAACAGTCTCTGGTTTAGCCAGGAAAACCACTCAGCAGAGGAGGTACCTGTAAAAGATGAACATTTTGGTCTGATAGCAGAAACATTGGTCTGCATCTCTTTAAGGACTAGGATTAAACAATATTTGTTGTTGTTCAACCAAATTGACCTTGAAAAATGTTCAGAGTTGATTTTTTTAGGTTTTGGAGAAATTTTTGGGGCAATCATGGAGGGTATGCTTGGCACCCTTAAATCCTCTAGGGTGCAGTCAGCTTCTATTTCATAAGGAGTTAAGATCAGTATTGTGTCTTTAAATTTACCCTTAGGCTCATGGTGAGACAGACTAGGGGTGTTCCATATTTTGTGGTTTTGTTCTGGCTGTATCATTCATAAAATTTCTCAGGGCTTGTACCCAGTTCTCATGATTGTAGGGAAGGCAGTTTCATCCTGGCCCTTAAGATCTGTGGTGTTCAAGAGCCTAAATCTAGGAGTACATCTGCAGTCTCCAAGCTGGTGACATTTAATAATGACGTTTTTGTCCTCTCTGTAATGGATAAAGGCGTGGGATGTGGTTCCTCAAGGGTTCTTTTGAAATCTCTGCAGATTTCAATCTGGTGGGAAAGAGCTTTGGGAGGAGGCCAAAGTCCCCATCCCAGAGATTTTAGGGCACGAGGTTTAACTGAAGCCATGTCCTTGTGTGGATCCTGCAGAGCACGGGTTGCAGGGACTGTCCCCAGGGTTCAGAGCATCCTCTGGCCACAGCCACAGCCTCTGCCAGGGGCAACGTGGCAAAAACAGCTTTGGGAAGAGAAACTGGGGAAAGGCATCTGCCAGAATGGCTGGCACCGAGGTGGCGGGGCTGGGGAGCTGCTGTAGAAAAACTGAAATCCCCTGAGGACTCTTGCTGGTTTAAAGCCACAGAATGCTCCGAGCTGTGAGCAGTGGGCTGGGCGAGCTTGGTTGGGTTCCACCAGGATGGGACTTGGGAGCTGGTCTGCCCAGGGCACATCTGCCAGCTGCTGACAGCAGGGGGACACCCCTCCAGCAGCACGAGGGGTGGGACATGGGTGGGACAGGGCTGATACCCTGCTCCAGGGCCAGACCATGTTCTGCTGCCCCAGCCCTGCTCCTTGCACTGAGTGCACTGAGCAGAGCTGGATCTGCACTGGAGCACTGCAGTGACTTTGGCAATATCAAGCTCTTAATGGGATTTCCTTGTGCATGTACATGTGGTCCTGTTTAATTATCCATTCCCTCCGGGATCTGCAGACTTAACGTGCCTCGCTCTCCAGCCTGAGCTCGCCATGAAAAGCCAGTCGAAATGGCAGCTGTCACCTCCCATAAATCAGCAGGCAGCAGGATTTTGTTGCTCCCCCTCTGAGAAAGCCTCTGCCCTTGGCCTTGGCATGCCCTCACACAGTCCCTGTGGCTCAGAGCTGCCCTGGGCACAGGGCTTAACCTCGCTGGAGGCTGCAGCCAAGCTGCCTTAGGGGTGCACCCCCTTCCTAAGGGCACCACGCAGCCTCTGATGGGTTTGGTGGTGGGACACAAGCCACGGGCCAAGCTCTGCCATCACCCTGCCCCAGCTGAGGGGTGCTGCCTGAACTGGGAGCCTGCAGCCAGAGAGGAGGCGTGCAGGGACCCAGCTGCCCCCACACCGCAAGCATGTCCACCCCTGGGTTCCCTTTGGCACAAAACCCCGGGAGGCTCCGTGCATGGGGGACCCCTCACAGCTCCCCAGCCCTTTCCCAGAGCCATTCACAGGCAGTGAGATCCCCAGGCCCCCCGGTCACCCCCATTTGCTCGCTCGTGTGCATGTCCCCGTGTCCCCATGCCGCCTCTGTCCCGCCTTCACCATGTGCCTTCTGGTCTCTCCTGCCACGCAGCCGCCGTGCCGGACTCCTGCCCCATTAACATTGAGGAATAGGTGAGACCATGAGACCCCCAGAGCTGCACCCGCCCCGTGCCCTGTCCCCCGGGGGGTTGGCATTGGGTTGTCACCCGTTGCTGGGCCGGGGGACATCCCTTTGTGCCTGACCTGAGCCCCACAGGGCACCTGCATGTGGCCTCTGGCTGGGCAGAGGGGGCACAGGCAGCCCCCTTCATTTGGGTTCTTTAAACCCAGCGATGGTCACGCTGTGCTTCCCATTTGGCCCTGAGAAATTGGGAGTTTAAGGGGCTCCCCCAACCTGGAGAGGTAAGTGCAGGTACCCCCCAGCCCCCACTGCAGCCAAAACCCAACAGGGGGCTGGGGAGGTGGGCGTTACTTTGGGAGAATAAACTGCATCCCCCATGGAAACATGAGCCGAGTGCACCAGTGAGCTTTGGGAGCCCCTAACCCCCATTTTCTCCCCCCAGGCCCAGAGGCAGCCAACAACAACGTGGGGCTGCAGCAGACCTGGCCCCACTGTCCCCCTGGCCCCCGGGACCTGGAGCAGGCAGTGGCCGCCCTGCCCGTGTGAGGGCTCAGCCTGGGTGGGGGCACCGGCCCCCCTGCCCACCCAGAGGGACCCTGGTGTCTGGGCACCGTGGGCATCGTCACCGCCACCCCTCGGCTGTACCAGGACTGATTTTCAAAAGAAAAGATGGTAACTTCGACTTTTCTGTGGGGGCTGAAAGCCATGTCACTTTGGAGCCCCCCATGAGCACCTTCCCATTCTCCAGCCCTAATGGGGATGGGCTGGGGTCCCCTCCTGCCCTCCCCCTCCCCTCCCATGGTCATCTTACACCTCCAGGCTCCTCTCTCCAATGTGTGGAGCCCATGGGACAGGGTCACCTCACCAAGGGGGTTTTGGGATGTGGGTGGGTGGGGACAATGGGAGGATCGTGTTCAGGGGAGTGGGTTCAAGGATGAGTGTTGGGATTGACACCCTTGGTGCACGAGCTGGTGACTTTCATGGGGGGGCCGGCCTCCCCCAGGTGTGCTGGCCCATGCCCCTGCCCTGCCATGCACTGTCCCCATGCCATGGGATGTCCCCATTATTGCACTGGCAGTAATGGTGCCCTCATAGCTCCCCCTCCTTCTGCTCTCCTGAGCACCATCTGGGCTCCTGGGCCTGGCCCCAGGTTGCTTTTCCTGAAGGCATGGAGCAGGGTGGCAGGGGTGGGCAGGATGCCTGGTACTGCCCCCAGCCCGGTCACCACCCCCTGGAGTGATAAATTGATAATTTATCCTGTCTGTCTTCCGCCCTGCTGTGAGCTCAGGGCTCTGGGCTGTGCCCCTCTCTCTGGAACAAGTGCCAAAAGTGTCACCTCCATCCCAACCGTCCTGCCCTCCCCATAACACTTTGTAGCAAGGAGTGGATGAGGGTGTGGGAGCTGCCCCCATCTCCATCATCATCTCTATCCCCATCCCTCTGGCCAGCATTGTGCTGAGAGCTTAAGTGGATTTTGCTCCAAGGGCAGACACACAAGGGTAGTAAAGGAGGAGGGATAAAGCCACAGACCTTGGGGGCCTGGTGGGGCCACTGGCAGAGGCCAAGCTCCACTCCAGAGAGCATCAGGGACAGTCAGAAATCAGTCAGAAATTGGAGGAGCATCAGACCCTGCATCCCAATATACTGGGCTCTGGAGCTGTTTGGGGCAACCCAGGGTGGGAAGCTGAGCCTGCTGAGCCTCCTTTTTCCCCACCTGGTTCTGTCACATGGCTGTGGCAGCAAAGGCCACCTCCTCTTTGCAGGACATAGCTGCATTTCAGAGCCACCTCAGCACAGAGATGTTCATGCACTGAAAGCAGTGTCCCTGGAGAGGTATTTGTGGGAAGCAGGTTGCCAGTGCTGTACTCATGGCAGAGCATGGGCTGTGCTGATGATGGCTGTGGCTCCTAAAGAGGGATGAAGCTCTTTTGGGGGCTGGGGGGTGTTTTCTCTGCCTGGCTCACAGCCAGGGCCATGGTAGCTGCTTGTTCTGTGGCCCCAGTGTGGGTCCTGCCAGGGGTGGGTTTGGAGCTGGCCATCCCACTGCTCTGTCCTCCGGGCTGGATGTGTCCCCTCTAAGCTCAACAGCTCCCAAATTCCTCCCTGGGAACCCAGGGCTGGGTGCTTGCTGTGGGGGGTGACATTTCCAAAACGCTGTTCTGCGGCATGCGGGGTGGGAGCTGCAACCATCAGGGAGGGCTGAAGGGGTGGGGACAAGCCTTGTGACCCGTTTGGGGACAGGCTGGGTGTCCCAGCTCCAAGGAGCCACAGCACCACACAGGGAGAACTTTGGAGGTTCACCATCATGCTAAGCTGAGAAAATCACAGCAGCCATCTCTTCCCTAAGTCTCCAGCATGGGCAGGGGAGAGAAAATCAGCTGATGCTCCAGGGGCACCTCGTCTACCAAAGCCCAGCCTTGCTCATGGTTTCAAAGGGGACAAGGACAGCTGGCCTGGCACCCTGCACAGGGTGCAACGGTGCTTGTGGTGCCAGCAGAACAAGGAGCACTTAGGAGCCACTGTGAGGGTTTTCTGGCTTCTCTGAGCGGTGTCCCCAAGGCTGCAGGAGCGGGCAGAGCTCACGGGGTGCCTGCAGACCCAGGGTGGCTGTGGATGGGCGCTGCCCCGCGTTCAGAGCGACGGTGGCTGCGATGGAGAGGAGCCGGGAGGATGCTGTGGCCGAGCAGTGCTGCTGCCTGGCTGTGAGCAAAGAATCCATCCTCTGGGTGGCACAGGAGAGACGGGATTTGGGCATGGGCGACACCAGTGCCGTCCTCGGCCACACAGAAGGGATAAGGGGCAGGCAGGAGCTGGCAGCGCAGCGTGGGGTGAAAGGTGACAGCCCCTTGTCTCACGGGGCCGCCCCTTGTTCCAGTGACCCACATGTCAGGGATTTAAGGAAGGAAACCAGATTGCTGCTTATGATTTTGCTTTGAGCATGTTTTGGATTTTAAGAGTATGTTTAATAAAGGGTATCTTATGTCGACAAAGTGTCCAGAGTCATTTTGTGGTTGCAGGGTGAGGGCAGATGGGATTTGGGGGATTTGGTGTGCAAAATCCCAAAAACCCTTTTTGGCTGGAAGCACCCACTCACTTGTCACCCAGGTACCTTCTCCAAAACATCCCAGTTGATTAAAATGTCCTAAAACACTTCCCAAGGTCCCTTCCAACCTGCATTCCAAACTATCCTATCTTGCCAGGATGGAGAAAGGGCAAATGCAAACTAAACCTCTGCAGGAGGAGTCTGGCCTGGGGTAGAGGCATCTTCCTGGTGAGTGGTGTGAGTGGTCTCTGTCACTGATGGGATGGATGAGGACACCCAGAGGGAACTTTTCCTGGGGGTGAAGAGGAGCAACAGAGATCTGGGAGTTCATGCAAGAGAAATCCCTCCAGTGGTGGGGAAGAAAATGTGTGTTGGGAGCTGAAGTCTTGAAGGCCAGGAGGGCTGTAAGGAGGTTGTAATTTGGGTTTAGTAGAAGGAGCTGATGATGGTGGGGGGAAGCAACTTGCAGCTGAATCAGAGTCAAAATCAGAATCAATCAGACAGACCTCTGAGATCATCGAGTCCCACCCAAGACCGAACACAGTGGGGGGGAATGGATTGCAGACGGTCAGATGCTTCAAAGAGATCCTTCCCTGGCCTCTGTTAAAGCCCTCGGAACAGCAGTTAGGGGACAGGGATTTCTTAGAGAAGCCTGTGGCTGTAATTTTTAAAATCAAATAAAGGCACACTCCATCCTTTATTTTTGGAGTCTGCCAGCCCCCCTTCAGCTTTGCCCTCATTGCCATGGGTGCATCAGGAGCAAGAAATAGGATAGGGGACCCAGGCAGGAGGAAAAGGGCTGGGGTTGCCCCTGGAGGGTCAGGTTTTCATAGAATCACAAATGGTTTGAGTTGGAAGGGATATTAAAGACCATCCAGTTCTACCTCCCACACACCACAAGCAAGGACACCTTCCACTATCCCAGGTTGCTCCAAGCCCCATCCAACCTGGCCTTGAACAATTCCAGGGATGGAGCATCCACAGCTTCTTTGAACAACCTGTTCCACCCCCCTCATTACAATTTCTTCCCATAATCCAATCTAAACCTACTCTCGGTTTGAAGCCATTCCCCTTTCTCCCGTGCCAAAAGTCCTCTGCAGATTTCTCACAGCTCCCTTCAGGTACTGCAAGCCGCGATAAGGTCCCCCCAAGCCTCCTCATCTCGGCGGGGCTGGGTTCGGGTTCGGTCCCGGCTGCGGGGGTCCCGCGGCATCCCTGGGTCCCACCCCCCGTCCCCATGGCAACGCGCGGGCCAATGGCGTGCCCGGAGGATGTTTACGGGGCGGGGCGTTGCCGCGGCAACGCGCGAAGCCTCCCGGAGCCGCTACTTAACCCCGCGCCGGGGCGGCCGCGGCTCACGGCGGCTCGGCGGGCACGGCCCGGCCCGGCCACACCGCAGGCTGCCCCCACACCCACGGGGCTTCTCTTTCCCCTTCGCTTTTTTTTCCTTCCCACCCCCTTTTTTCTTTTTTTTTTTTTAATTTTTTTTTTTTTGGTATTTTTTTTACCTCCCGTCTCCTGGTTTTCCAGAAGCTTCTTACTCTGTCGTGAACTCTGCCTGTGGCGGGGCGACACCGGGACGGGGTAAGGGGATGCGGCGGGGTCGGGAGGGCGGTGGGACGGGAAGCTGCGCTGGGTCTGCACGGGGGCGCGGCTCTGGTTATGCGCCCTCCAGGCGCTCTCTCCTGGCCCAAACACTCGGGATTTCGGGTTTACATCCACATCCCCCACACAGGACTCCCCAATGTCAGAAGCTGCCGCCTCGCTCTGACTGAGGGTGTGCTTGGGATGGGACCCCGCCTGTTCCCCTAACCCACCCCTGAGTTGTTTCTGGGTAGCACGGGAAGGTAAAAGCAGAAATAGCATCAAACCGAGACAAATTGGCTGCGAGGGGGAAAACTTTAAAGTATTTCGTCCTGGTGTGGAATGCTGAGAGTTAGTCCTTGCGAGTGCCAGCTGTCCAGAGATGTGTGCTCCCAAGAAAGAACCTCACTTTGTGGGATGGCAGGGCTGGATTTTGGTTGTTTGAGGGGTTCTTTGTGAGTTTTTTTTGATTCTTTGTTCAGCCAAGAGCTTGCTGGACAGCAGGTCAGTGGGTGACATTGAGATGTAGGAGTTTGAGGGAATTTCCCCGAGGCTCAAGGGTGCTAAATCCCCTCGGGGCAGGTGTTGCAGGTGCCTTGCACAGCACACCAGGGATGGGTCTCACCCAAGCAGCTCCAGGAACACCCAGGGCTGGCTCTGGCTGTCAGAGAGAGACTGCACCTTGGGGAACCTCACCCCTGTCCCTGTTGTTATTGCAGGATCTGCCCCATCCTTTCCCTCCCCCTTCAGGTGCAGCCTGGGAAGCACTGAGGGAGGCATGGCGTGGCCGAGCCGAGCACTGAAAGCCAAGGGCAAATTGAAGTGCATGGAGGAAGACCTGGATGACAGCCTGCCAGAC